CCAATGCAAATATTTTATTCCTGCATGAATTAAAAAAATCCTTGTTATTGTAACTGCAGGGTAGCTCCGTAGGATGTAAAATTCCAATGTATCATTTGTGGTTCTATTCCCTGATAGAAAAATTCTACAGAACAGCATGAGAAACTTTTTGTACTACTTATAGATGATTCTTTTATGAACATTGTATATTTTTGCAATAAAGAAGTCTCTTGCTCTTTCTCAAGCTCAAAAATTAGCTGCAGGACAGGACACTGCAGCGTTGCAATTACAGAGGAAACAAGCACCCTTTTATAAATGATGTGAAACCTACACGCAGCCTCCCAGTCTTTCCTGTCCTCTTATCACTGAGGCCTTAGATAACAGTACATGGGAGAATCTGGACAAATTTCTCTCTCTCTCTGGATGAGCTGGAGTCTGTTTCTGGCTAGTAGCATGTGTGAACCTGTCTACAAATGAAAAGGGGACAGGGAGAAAATTAAGAATTGGTGACCAATCTCCCTGCTGAATATTGAATACAAGTATTTGTCCAAGGCCATCACTCACAGGTCAGGTCACTCACCCTGACCAGACCTATGTGTAAGTCTGGGGGTGTTCTATGCAGTTTTGGTCTCCTCATCTGATGAAGGATGTGCTGGTCACAGAGGCAGTGCAACATAGGTTTACCAGACTGATTCCTGGGGTGGCAGAACTGACAAATGAAGAGAGATTGGATTCGTAGGACAGTATTCACTGAGGTTTTGAAGAATGCAGGGGATCACATATAAATCTATAAAGTTCTATTGAGGACTAAGATGAGGAGAAATGTCTTCACCAGAGAGTGGAGAGTCTGTGGAATTGTCTGTCATGATAAGCGGTTGAGACCAAAACATTGAATGCTGTCAAGATGGAGATATCATTCTTAGGGCTAAAGGGATCAAAGGATATGGAGGAAAATGGGAACAGGGTACTGAGTTGGATGACCATGATTGTATTAAATGACTGAGCAGGCTCAAAGGGCCTGCCTCATCAGCCTCGGCAAGGAGAAGGCCTTTGGCAGGCTTTTGGACACCTACACGAGGGATGTGCTCTCCAAAATGGGCTTTGGGCAGGGAATCTGCAAATAGATCCAACTGCTTTACATCAACATCAGTCAGGCAGTCTTAATCAATGGGTGGGAATCAGAAAGCTTCAAGATTGGATCTGGAGTCAGGCAGGGATAGCCACTCTCTCCTGCCTTGTTTGTGTGTTGTACAGACCCTTTTGCAGAGCCCAACAGGAAGGATGCGAGCCTGAGAGGGGTGACTATTCCAGGCAGCAGAGGCCTGTAGGTCAAAGCCTCCCTGTACATGGATGATGACATCATTTTCTGTTCAGATCCTCTGCCAGTGCATTGACTCATGAACATCTAAGACCAGTCTGAGCTGGCCTTGGGAGCAAAAATAAATTGAGGCAAGAGTCAGGCCATGTTCTTTGAGAACTGGGCTCATTGATCCTTTATCCCTTTCACCATCAGGTCAGATTACCTGAAGGTGCATGGCATAGGGTTCAGAGGGACTGGGTACATGTGCTATAATGTAGGAGGAGCGTATCACCAATGTAATGCAGAAACTGGGCATGTGAGAGATCTGTGCCATCTCCTTGGCGGGTATAAAACTGGTCACCACATGTGCGATTGTCTTGGTGTAGGTCTGGCCCATTCCTGCTACAGTGATCACCCAAACCAGTTTCTACTTCACCTGAAAATCAAAGATGGATCATGTTCACAGGGAAGCTCTGTACAAATCTCTGGACAGAGGCAGGAAGAATGTATCCAATGTCACCCTCATCCTGATAGTTATCTTTGTGTGCAACTGCATCACGCTGTGCGTAGACCCACAGTACACAAATACCAAGTGTCACTATGTGATGAGATTCTACCTGTCCCTGGTATTATGAAGCATATGTCTAGCCACATTGCTGCAAATGCTCCAAGTAGTTGGACTGTACTGTATCAAATGTGATACTTTTATTATATTTTCAGTAATGACCAACTTGAATTGTTTTATAATGTACTTATAGATAATTTATGAATAAAGCATTTTCTTGCAAACTAGAAAAGATCAGAGAGGGCTCAAGGCAGCAACTAATAGATGATGAAGCGTCATCTAGGCTCAAAACGTTAACTTGCTGTCTCTCCATGGATGCTGCCTGACCTGCTGTGATCTCCAGCATTTTTGTTTTCAGTTCACTGAATAGTTGGATTTTGGTCTTTACAATCCTGCAACGCAAGGAACTCTTAAGATCTGTAGCTGTGCTGGATTTTATTATTCCTTTCTGTACAAGACACCCTTCTTCCCAACCTTCTGTTTTAAAACTTTATTACCTGAGTTAGTGTTTGAGGTTGTGTTTTCTTATTTTTCTCAAGTTTAATAGGTAATAAAACTCCACTCCCTTTCACTTATGCATATCTTGCAATCGTCTGACCTTCATTTTTCATCTGGTCAGCTAAGTTTAATTGAAGTGTGATAACTATATGTAAAAAAGAAATAAAGGTATTTATTTCTACTGACCGTGGGGGTAAAACAAGGAGAAGTGAATCACCCCTCTTCACCTGACAATATCACCATTTATCTCAACAATTCAGAGTCTGGAAACAGAAGTATTATCTTAAATTTAAAGAAGGACTGCATCAAAATACCAGAAGACATTCATAAACATGCAGAACTTGTGTGTAATTGACAAAAGTGACTTTGAGATTGGTAAATATAAGGTGTTATATTTTGGTAGGAAGAATATTGAAGCCATATACTCCTTGTACAATAGAAGTCTAGATAGAGTAAGGAACAGTGAAATCTGGGGGTGCAAATGCACAATTAGGTAAAAATAGCAAAAATGATTTATAAAGTGTTCATTTCTAGAAGAATAGAATAGAATTGATGATGGGATTAATGTTAAAATATTAATAGCTAGACTGCATTATCAGCGATGTCAGATGGTGTCATGTCACATGGAACTGGAAACTGATTGCAAACCTGATTTATCCTCACTATCAACATCCTGGGGGTTACCATAGACCAGAAACTGAACTGGACTAGCCACATAAATACAATGGTTACAAGCAAAGGTCAGAGGATAGGAATCCTGCAGCAAGTAACTCACCCCCCTGAGTCTCCAAAGCCTGTCCACCATCTACAAGGCACAAGTCGGGAGTGCAATGGAATGGAATACTCCCCACTTGCCTGGACCGTTGCTCCAACAACACTCAAAAACTGAACACCACTCAGGACAAAGCAGCCCGCTGGACTGGCACCACATCCATAAGCTTTCTCCATCACTGACACTATGTAGCAGCAGTGTGTACTATCTATAAGATGCACTGAAGAAATTCACCAGGGCTCCTTACACAGCATCTTCCAAACCCACACCACTGCCATCTAAAAGGACAAGGGCAGCAGATACATGGGAACACTCCCATCCGCAAGCCACTCACCATCCTGACTCGGAAATGTATCGCCATTCCTTCAGTGTCCCTGCATCAAAATCATGGAATTCCCTCTCTAATGGCATTGTGGGTCTACTGACAGCATGTGGGCTGCAGCGGTTCAAGAAGGCAGCTCACCATCACCTTCTCGAGGGGCAACTAGGGACGGGCAATAAATGCTGGCCCGGCTACTAACACCTATATCCTACGTCTGAATAAAAACATAGTCCTGGCGAAGAGATAGTAGGAACTGCAGATGCTGGAGAATCCGAGACAACAAGGT